TTCCTATAATCTAAACTATCTATATAGCGATCTACGAATACAAAAATGAATTGCTTATTTTTTTTTTGTATTTGTTTCGTTGGTGTGCTTAAAAATTTCATATTTATTATAACAAATGTTAGCAAGTATCTATCTAACGTCACCAGTGTCTGAGCAGAAAGTTGATGAACCAGGGGTATGTCAAAGAACGTCTCGTCCTTTTTCTAAAAAGATGTCATCGGAAAGTACCAATACCTTGTTGATAAATATTCCGTATCAACTTCACAAATAATTCACGATGGTCTTGAAGTATAAATTCTGCGTACTGACGTTGTTTATTATCTTAATAACGTGTTATAGTATTCTTTTATTTGTCTTTATTAATATTACTTTTACTGTTAAGTCTGTTTTTTGTGATATCCATTTGACGTGACTCTGTATACTTATGTATCCCGTCATACTTTGAACGACAAAATTATTTTATATATACCAGTATGACGTCAAACGCGCGATTCTACTCCAGTACTAAAAATCTTCCATCCTTTATGGGTGGATTTTACATATATAGATAAATTAAATCGTATAATAAAAAAGCAAAATGAGGATGTTTAATTTGATGTATGCCTTTTTGTGCTTTTTTGTTACATTTGTTTGTTTTTATAGTGATTTAAAAGATGATAACGCAATGTTCACTGCTGTACCCCTATTTTTGACATTTTTATACTTATTGTGTCTGTTTGTTTTGTTCACGCATCGTTGTCAATATAATGGAATTTGATGCGATTGTCATACAAGTTAGAGGTTTAGCTAGCTATAAAACCAGGTTCAATCCACAATTTTCTACATAAGAAAATGCCTGTACCAAATCAGGAATATGAAAGTTGTTATCCATTCGTTTGATGTGTTTGAGCTTTTGATTTTGCCGTTTAATTAAGGACTTTCCTTTTTGAATTTTCCTCGGAGTTCAGTGCTTTTGTGATTTTACTTTGTACTATTAAGTAGTTTTTCAACTTTTGTAGAACAACACCTTTTAGGGTCTGAAATGGGTTTACAGAAACAAGACAACAGAAAAATTGGCAAATAAATAAAAAAAAAAAAATAATGGTCAAAATGAATAAAGAATACAGATAGAATAAAAAATAAAAGACCCCATCCAGAACCTCACATAGTGTACATAGTTTGTAGGCATTAGTTGACTTTTTCAAATGTTGAAGAAACCGATTTCTGATGAAAAGAAATGTTCACATTTCTTCCTAGTATATTCAACATTTTACGTTTATATAAACCGTAACCTTACAAGAAAATTCTCATTATATATAGCGACATAGATAAATGTGTTTTATCTATATGTCGCCGCTACAGTGAGAAAGGTATTATTAGAAGGACACGGTTTCTTTTGATGTTGAAAAATATATCAAAAGAGAGGCGAAAGTTACCAAAGATATTCAAACTCATAAGTCGAAAACAAACTGACAATGCCATGGCGAAAAACAAAAAAACAAAAATACCAAAAGACAAACAACACTACAAAAATCTTAACACAGAATACTAAAGACTGTGTGAGTTGAAACCCATCAAAAACCGGGGGGATATCAGGTGCTCTGGACGGGTAAGCAGATTCTGCTCCACTTGTGGCACCCGTCGTGTAACTCCTATAAACTACGTTGATAAGTCATATGAAGTGATAAGGCATCATGCAATAGCCGATTGTTAATTGACTCTTTATCTAACCATAAGTCATCACTAATTTCGTAAACCATCGGCCATCTATATTTTCTAACCCTAAAACGTAACCGAATGTGAAATTTTGAAATTGATACACGTTTTTTATGACAAAGGAAAGGAAAGACTGTTACCGATACATTGGAAAATTAAAACCGCAAAGAACAACACTAAAAACTAAAGCAAGAGAAACACCAACCCCTTTTAAACAAAACTAGGGATGATCTCAGGTGCTCCGGAAGTTTATATGATTATATGCATTTATCTATATCATGTCGGTTGAGAACACAACTTTACGACCAGAGTGATGATTTCAGCTTTCCAATTGTGACCATAACATTTCTATGTAGCAACATTCCAGCAGGTTGATACGATATTCAAGAGCTTGCAATTCGTATCCTAGTATGATTATTTTGATAGAGGGTTGCTGATTACCAAGAAGCTTTTAAACAAAGAGTTCCAAGTGGTGAAGTTGAAATCATCCCTTTGAAAGTTTTACGGACGCCTTCACTAGTTGGTTGACCGCAATAGAACTTCTGTTTCAAAGATAACGACGGACATGTTCCAATAATCGTACCAACAATTTGACCTCTTTTCCTCGAATGTAACAAACCGAATTAGTTTGTACTTGCATGAGTAACACACAACGGGTGCCACATGTGGAGCAGGATATGCTTACCCTTCCGATACACCTGAGATCATTATCGGTTTTTGGTGGGGCTCGTGTTGCTCAGTCTTTAGTTTTCTATGTTGTGTTTTGTATACTGTTCTGTCTTTTGGTCGTTTTTCGGTTTTACCATGGCATTGTCAGTTCGTTTTCTACTTATGAGTTTGATGATCCCTCTGGCATCTTTCGCATCTCTTTAAAAGTTTGGAAAGTTTGAACTCTTACTCTATGTCTATGGCTGTAGTGATGTTTTTAATTTCAATGAAAGTGATCTACGTACAACGGGTAAATTGTCAAGTCAAATGATTTCGTTACAAGAGAGTACGTAACACCTTTACTTAGTTCTTTCAAGATACACACTTTGGTTTGTAAATTTGGCTGTGCCTCTAGAAACCTTATTACAAACGGGGTATCACATCCTATTTTCACGGTGATATTGTGTATTGAACCAGTACAAATAGATACGATCTATTTAAACTTGATGATCTTTTAAATACATCTATACGTATTCGTAAAGGCTATCAATTTACATCTTCACTAGCCAAGGGTTACAATCCAATCCCATGGATAATCAATTTAACACTGTACTTCGATCTTAAAAATTGTCTTTATCGGTACTGTCATTGATATTTTGTTGTAGATAAATTAATCATAACTAATAAAATTGAAAATGGAAATGGGGAATATGTCAAAGTGACAACAACCCGACCAAAGAGCAGACAACAGCCATAGGCCACCAATGGATCTTTAATGCAGCGAGAAAATCCCGCACCCGGAGGTGGTCCTCAGCTGGCCCCTAAATAAAATTGTGTGCTAGTTCAGTAAAAATGGACGTCACACTAAACTTCAAAACATATAAATGAACTAAAATTAAAAAACATACAAGACTTACAAAGGTCATATAGATATGTATTCCAATACGACGTCGATACCAATAACTTTGCATTGTAAAAGGCCATGTTTTGTCGGACTGTCTATGGTGTCTTTACACTAGATAAATGATATTTAGTTTTGGAAATAATTATTTATTTATCAGATATAATTTACTTTGAGCTAACTTTGATCTGTTTAAATAAATGCGAGTGTTCTTAGATCGGTTTTTCGGGTCTTTTGTCTTTTTTTTTGTGTGTGTTTTGTCCCGATCGCAGGAGTGAAGACGTATCGAATTGAACTACACAGTTTGTTCTCATGGTGTGCTGTTACACCTCTGTCCTCGGTTAAACCCACCATATTCTGTATGTGCCCGTTTCAAGTCAAATGCCTGTAATTCAGTGGATGCTGTCTGTCATATTATTTTTTTCATTTATCGTTTTGTACATCAATCTAGCCGTTGGTTTTCTCTTTTGAATTATTTTGTAAATTGTCATTTCGGGGCCTATGACGGCTATACTAAACTGTATTTGGTTTGCTCATTTTTGAAGCACGTATAATGACTTATAGTTGCTTACACATAGTCTTTTGGTCTCTCTCATTGGGAATCATAACACATCTGCCTATTATCATCTTTATAGGAGCCTTTTAAATATTTATGTCTGCTATTACCAACAAAAAAAGGATAGAGAAGAAGACGATGTTCATTTCCGTAAACATCAATCTTTTCAAAGTTTAATTTTTGGTTATTTTCACCCATCTTGACAAAGTAAAACGGAAAATATCACACAGTCCTTTCTTTTAATTTGTTCATCATGCTTTTCAACACAGACTTATTCTATGTCAGGAATCAAAATGTCCGTTTAAGACTAAAATGTATTTACTAGAGAATTCTCAGGCAGTGGTATATTGTGTGGGATTTGTTTCTTGTATTTTTCGTGTACCAGTTTTACTATGTCATCTTTATAAGTTTCTTTACTGCTTTTGAACTTAAGGGTATACGATACAGTTTTGATCGCACGGTGAATTTTTGACGAAAATTTGCATACAAGCTATTTTTCACGTAGTCAATTCAAACATGTAATAATAAATATACCTTCATGTGCTATTTTTAGAAATATAAATGGGGTCGAAATTTCAGATATTTACGGGAAATGTCGGTTTCTTGGACATTTCTATCCTTTGGAAAGACATACTTAACTTTTTGTTTCAAAAGATAAACGCAAACGGATTTTTGTAAAAGCATCTGAAATGTCTTCTCTACTACATAAGTGTGCTTTAAATTTGTGTAACAATTCTCTGGAAATTATTCATTTTTATCACATTTTCATGATTTTAGTCAAAGAACGGCATTTTTTGCTGTATATTTATCTCATTTAAAAAATTGTCATCGGTAATTTGTTCATAAAAATTGGCACAAAGAATCTTCATGCATAATCAAGCCAAATTTCATTTTTAAAAAGAGGGGTCCGAAAACTCGTTTTGAAGTTAAATCAGTCTGAATGATAAAAATCAGTCGAGAATGCATCTTTTCCCGATATGTCACAGTTTGACTTCGTGAAAAATAACATTTAACATTAGCAACGTCATTACCTCCCCTGCAACTGTATCGTATGCCCTTAAAGAAGTAGTACGAGGACGTCAAAATTAGATTTAACTTTGTTTACTTCTCTGTTCCGATAGCTGTTTCAAAGTTTTCAAAATTGACCTTTTACCAAATATACCGTTCATAGGTAGTAAGTTAGAACGAATAAGACAAACACAATAAGAAAGTTTATTTCTCTTCCGTAGGCATATACTTTACATTCAGTTAGTATCTTTCGATTGTTCATTGGTTACGTCATCAAATTCCTTAAAAAAAATGGCTGTGCTCTTTTGTATAAAACAATTGTGAGTCTTTCTTAAACTGGTTCTAAGTGTCGTTTAATCATCATTTTAGTAGATCTCAGCGAGTAGTACACTTTCCATTTATTCCAATTCATACCCAAACGAGAAAAAGAGTGATGTGCACCTAAATATGCCCCATTCAAATTCGAAGCATAACAATCATTGTACCACCATGCCCCTTGACGTTTTTGTGCGCAGCTGCCATTTCTTCTGTCATTATCTTTGTCTTTAGTAGAAAACATCATGCCGTTGTGGATTTTAAGGGCGTCTCCTTGGCAAATAAGCAAAAATTGGATTTCATTAATTTCCATTTAAACTTACACAAGAAACACTTTGCAAAAAATAGATTTCATTCTGACGTTGTGTCTTTTGTTTCGAATAAATATTAGCTATTCATAACATTAATGTTACAAATTTTACTGCACCAGGTTAGCTTTTCGACAATTAATGTATCTTCAGTGATGCTCGAGGCCGAGATATTTGGAAATCCAAACTCAATTCAAACGTGAGAGAGCTAATCAAACAAAAAGGACTTAAAGTATAGCCAAATACGGACAGGACGTCACAGTTTGGTATGAGGGAGATATATTCCGTATATTAAAAAGGTGGCAAAGGAACATCCATGTTCAAAAAAGGAAAATTAACAATAGGGAACGAAAATCATCCCTTTTGTCGTAGATTTTTGTGTAAAGATTCCCGTGAAAAACTGAAATATCTAAATCTGGGAAAGGACAGTTATTACTGTTTATATTTGATTTAGTAAAAATAAGTTCCTTTGAGTAAATTTTGGCAAAATATCTAGAAAATTCCTGATTATTTAACGAAAAAATGTCACCAAGATAACGGCAAGTGTTGTTTAATTTATCAATTAAATGAAATTCAGACGTGTCTTAACTGAATTTGGCCTAAAACTGATTCATAACAGTAAAGAACAAGTCTGCTATTAAAGGGCCACAGTTGGTGCCCATAGGAATACATACAACCTGTTGATAAACTTATTGCCGAAACGTACATAAATGTTGTCAACGAGAACATTTAAAGCTTTAATCAATAAGCGTTATCAAACAACTATTTAATAATTAATTTAATCTGCTGAAAAATGAATAGCCGCAATCTTAAGTGCCTATCCTAAGTTAGAAGCCTGTAATCAAGATGTTGTCGTTTGTTGTATTATCATATTTGTTTTTTGTTAGTTGTTTTGTACATAAATCAGACCGTTAGTTTTCTCGGTTGAATTATTTTACATTTGTCATTTCGGGGCCTTTTATAGCTTTCTATGCGATATGGGGTTTGCCCAGTTTTGAAGGCCGTACGGTGACCTATAGTTGCTATTTTTTAGTCATTTGGTTTTTGATGGAGAGTTGCTTTATAAGCAACCATACCACATCTTCTTACTTTTATACAATAGATATAAGATGTTGTATGAGTGCCAATGAGACAACTCTCCATCCAAGTCACAATTTGTAAAAGTAAACAATTATAGGTCAAAGTACGACCTTCAACACGGAGCCTTGGCTCACACCGAACAGCAAGCTATAAAGGGCCCCACAAGTGACAAGTGTAAAACCATTCAAACAGGAAAACCAACGGTCTAATCTATATAAATAAAGGAGAAACGAGAAACACTTATGAACCTTATCAACAAACGACAACCACTGAACAACATTTATTCATATTATATTTATTTATATACATATATTTATTTATATTAAACAATGCATTTATTCTTAGGAGGCAGAATTCTTCCAGAACCTCTCTAAAAACATAAAAAGAATGTTGTTGTATCTGTTAATTTCACTTTCAGCTGTATAGATGATGCCCTTTCTAAGAATAATTCAAAATTTGGTTACTATACTGACTGTTCCTAATCCAATGAACTTGAATAAATGATGCCAGATATACAGTTTAGTATTTAAATAAATTGACAATGAGGGTGGGTTGAGAACTACACTTTTTAACAAGAGAGATGATTTCAATTTTACAATTGTGAACTTTCCATTCCTGTTTAGATACATTCCAGCAGCAGCGCCTTTATATGCAATATATATCTCAGAGTTGATACGACATTCCAGTTCGTGCGTTTCCTATAATGATGAATTGATACATGGATTTTTGACTGTTTTACGTCAAGGGACAAATTAAATGCATATTAAGTACAACAACATGATAATGTGATATGAATATAGATTCTGCTTTGAACTAGACCGATACACTGATCCGGATTGTTTAACGTGCTAGTTAAAAAGGTGACAGTTTGCAGGAAAACATGTCACCATACCCGAAAGCGACTTATTACGGGAATTTCGACAAAAGAAATGATTTTAGCTTACCGAGTCTAAATTTTCCATTTCTAGGAAGCAACATTCCAGCAGCGCCTGCATACGAACGCTTGACAAGTGAAGGTGATACACGGCTGAAATCACATATTATATTCATAATTACTTTAAATATCAGCACAACAATGTTAAATCTGCAAATTTGCGGAAGCAAATTTTTGTTCTTCCCTCGCCGGGATTCGAACTCATGCTATTGGGATGAAGAACAAAAATTTGTTTCCGCAAATTTGCAGATTTAACATTGTTGTGCTGATATTTAGAGTAATCATGAATATAATATGTGTTTTTAGCCGTTTATCACCTTCACTGGTGATCCAATGGATGGATCTGTCGTAGATTTGTCACTTGCTTAGACGTACTTATATTTATATATATATAATCAAACACTGTGTATTCGTTCTCCTTCAATTTGTAACAAAGAAATTTCGTACCCAAAATACTCTGATATTTATATACTTTCGGTACTCTATTATTTGAAATCATTGTGGACGTATTAAAATACTTGTGAATATGAATTTTCTGAACATTTTGTTCAAATTAACCAGCAATAACTTTAATTTTAATTTCGTTTCAATGATAATGGAGTAAACATTTTAACTAGTATAATTCCGCATTTTGTTATGCAGATTTTAGATTGTTTATAATTTTGGATTGATACCTCATTTGAATATATCAAACATGACGTCCCTTTATTCAAAATATTCAAGTGAAATTGTGAAGTTATACCTGCATCACCGCTATATCCATCTATATTTAAAGTATACTTCGTTGTGGCATCTCCGACACTGAATTCGGAATACTCTGCAAAGCTCGAATTCCCTTCAAAATCTTCAAGGTGTATGTAAAGCTTGTAGTTTCCAGAAGAGGTTAGAACATTTATGAAATTATTTCCTGTGCAAAAGGGAAATAAGAAATACATCTGCGAACGAATACCAATCGATTGGCTGATTATTTCTTTTTAAATCCTTTAATTCTTAATAGCTGCGATTAAAATGATTTTATGGGTTAATATGATTGTGCAATTTGTTAAAGCTACTTTGTTTGTACTTCATTGTCTTAGTAAGATATTGTTTCAGTTCTATGCGACTGTCATACAAGTGAGAGGTTTAGCTAGCTATAATCAACCCATTTCGAAATGCCTGTACCAAGTCAGAAATATAATAGTTGATTTCCATTCCTTTGATGTGTTAGAACTTTTGATTTTGCCATTTGATAAGGGACATTCCGCTTTGGATTTTCCTTTGAGTTCGTTTTTTTTTGGTATTCTACTTTTTCTATCATCCTTATAAAAAATAAGCATTTAAAAAAAAACATCAGATAACAGCACAAAAATGCACAGACAAAATTTGCTTGGTCGAATCCTATGTTAAGGTGTTGTGAAAAACAGAAAATTGTTTTTTTTTGTGTTTTGATTTTCAAATCATATAAAACTATGATTGTGGGTGGGTGATAATTTGTTATTTTGATTTAATCTATGACATGTGTAAACAATTGAATGATATACAGATCAAATTGCCTTATTGATAAAAAAAAGCTTCAACCTTATTTCTAAAGTTTAAGCTAAACAAGTAGCATGCTCAAATAATAACCTTTATATCAAACGTGAATTGTCTCCACTTGATATTGTTAACATTCTTATACAAAGAAATCATACCAATCTTTTTTCGTTTAAGATGAAAACTGTATACTCGAATAGGATACAAAAAAGTAAACAAAGATGGCTTAACTAACTGTGCTGAATGGATAAGGTGTTTTTCAATGGATTATAAAGCGAAAATTACCCAACCAATACTCGGATTCCAAATTTCCAAATCCAATCTCATAATCGCACCATCCTCTGTAAAAATCAACAGTTCCGTTCATTCTGCTTTGGAAAACCTTTTGAAAAATTATATAACATAAATAATAATGAAATCAAATAAAACACATTCTCGACATTTTCAGCGATTAGTCCATTTCCACTGAGGTAAAATTGTGTGTGAATGCAGTATTGTTATTTCGATGTATCGTTATTCTTTTTTTTTTAATTTATAGCTATTCACGTGTGTATCTAATTGTACCTCTTTCGTTTTCACATTTTTGTTTTTTTTTGTGTTACTGGTGAAGGTAAAAAGTGTTTTGATCATTGAAATTAATATCGTACATGTCAAATACGTTTATGTTATGTTAATTGATTTACCTCTTCTAACAGGAAATCAATAGAGACAGATTTTGAATAATGTAATATACTTACAATATCTGCGAAATTTGATAGAAGTTTATTTCCCGAATTTTGAATTGTCACTATTTTTAACTTGTAATCAAGTTTCAGCAAATTCAATCACCAACCATGGTTTAAGTTGTTAGTTAAGATGATAAAGATCAATGCAAACAAAAATTCAGAACAAAAAAGTTAGCTTAAAGAAGTTTCGTGGTTTTATGAAGAAATAACTCGAGAATAAAACAGAAAGTGCAAAAAACTATATCTAAGATTGAGAATGGAAATGGGGAATGTGTCAAAGAGACAACAACCCGACCAAAGAGCAGACAACAGCCAAGGCCACCAATGAGTCTTCAACACAGCGAGAAAATCCACACCCGAAGGCGGGCTTCAGCTGGCCCCTCAACAAAAATGTGTACTAGTTCAGTGAAAATGGACGTCATACTAAACTCCAAAACATATAAATGAACTAAAATTAATAATCATACAAGACTAACAAAGGCCATAGGCTCATGACTTTTAACAGGCGCAAACATGGGTGAAACATGTTTAGTGAGATCTCAACCCTCCCCTATACCTCTAGCCAACGTAGAAAAAACAAACACACATCAATACGCACAGTAAAATTCAGTTTAAAAGAAGTCCGAGTCCGATGTCAGAACAGGTAACAAAAGAAACTAAGCAAAATGACAATTATACATAAATTAACAAAGAACTACTAGCAGTTACTGATATGCCAGCTCCAGACCTCAATTAAACTGATTGAAAGATTATGTCTTCATCATATGAAAATCAAGCACAATCCCTCCCGTTAGTGGTTTAGTATCATACCATCAAAAATATATGAGAAGAGCATAATCCGTATCATGCCAACAACTGGTTTTAGAATAAATTTGTTTATTTCCGATGCAATGAGTGAATCAATATAAATACCAACATATGCCATCTTTAATGACCTGACAACAGTATCGTAACTATATCCCTTCTGAATAAGTCTGTTTAAAGGTTTGGTTAGCTTTTGAGGTAAATGCCGACATTTTTGTGCTTTGTAAAGAAGATTGGATGTGAAGTACCCAAACGTATAAGATGTCTGCATGTTGATTTGTATTTACGAATGATGTCCTTGTACCGATGATAACATTTAGTAAATGTTTTGACTAGTTTGTGATATCGAAAACCCTGGTGTAATAATTTTTCAGTAAAACAGAGATTTCTTTCGTTAAAATCAAATACGTTGTTACATACACGAGCGAATGGAACAAGTTGAGATATATAAACACCATAAGATGGTGATAAAGGAACGTCATCACCTAAAATTGGATAATCAACAATAGAAAATGAAAAATCATCTCTTTTATCATAAATTTTGGTATCAAGTTTCCCGTTAAAGATATAGATATCAAGATCCAGAAAAGGGCATTGTTCATTGTTAGTATTAGCTCTATTTAAAGTCAGTTCAGCCGGATAAATCTCTTTAGTGTACATACTGAAGTCGTCATTAGTGAGAGCCAATATATCATCCAAATATCTAAAAGTGTTATTAAATTTTTGTATCAGATGTTGTTTCGATGGGTCTTTGCTGATTTTAGTCATAAATTGTAACTCATAACAATATAGAAAGAGGTCCGCCGACCACAAACAGCAAATACTTAAAAACAAAAAGGAAATGGAAAACAGAGCCAACAAAGAAACTAGAGGCTCTCAAGAACCTGTGTCGCTCACCTGTATCTTCTGTGTTTTTGGAAATCATGTAAAATAAGGTTAAAATCATAATGAATAGTATTAGATACACTATGGCCTAATAATGTTTGAGGAGAAGTTTGGTTAAATTTGGCCCAGTAGTTAAATTAAAAGCAGGTCATCCCATTGTAGTCTTACAATAGTTACCGAAGACCTCTTACCATTATTTAAATTTGTTTTCAAGTTGTGACCATTTGAAATTGTTTTTTTTTACAATTTTCCCTTAGACTTCTATAGTAAAACCCTATGTTCTATTTTTAGCCATGGCTGCCATGTTGGTTGGATGACAGGGTTATTGGATACATTTTTCAATCAAGATACCCTATTGAAAATTGTGGCTAAGTTTAATTCTACTTGGCCCAGTAGATTAAGTGGAGATTATTTTTGTAAAAAATTACAAAAATTTACGAAAAATTGACTATAAAGGGCAATAACTCCTTAAGGGGTCAATAAACAATTTTGGTCATTTGACTTATTTGAAGATCGTACTTTGCTTAACATTATTGCTGTTTACAGTGTATTTCTATCTATAATAATATTCAAAATAATAACCAAAAACTGCAAAGTTTCCTTAAAATTACCAATTCAGGGGCAGCAACCCAACAACAGGATGTCTGATTCGTCTGAAAATTTTAAGGCGGACAGATCTCAACCTGATAAACATTTTTACCCCGTCAGGTTTGCTCTAAATGATTTAATTTCAGAGATATAGGCCAAAAACTGCATTTTAACCCTATGTTCTGTTTTTAGCCATGTCGGCCATGTTAATTGGCAGGCGGGGTCACCGGACACATTTTTAAAACTAGATACCTTAATAATGATTGTGGCTGATTTGGTTAAATTTGGCCCAGTAGTTTCAGAGGAGAACATTTTTGTAAAAGGTAACGGACGACGGACGACGGACGCCAAGTAATGAGAAAAGCTCACTTTGCCCATTAGGCAAGGTGAGCTAAAAATGAATCTAGTCATTGTTGCTTTTTATTTAATAAAACAATCTTTTAATACAACAAATGTGTCGTGTTAGATATAATTGAGAAATACTGGTATTTATTTCACTTGTTCGACAAAGTGAACACCAATATTTCAAAAGTAAAATACACTAAACATTGATATCTGTATTCTGTACGAATAAAATGATACTATAACATTAAAACAAAAGTCGAATAAAATCTACTTCAGCACTACACTTACCGTCCAACCAAGTCCTGCTGTATCCATGTCACAGTAAACATCAAACTTCTCATCTGATGGATATATTGTATATATCCCTGACCAACTTCCTTGTGGAAGGTCACTGCAGTCCCGTATGCGAGGGTCTGAAGTTATTTTAAAAAATAGATTTGTTTTATGTTTATCACTTCATACTTATCTCATATATCAGATAATATATAAGTATAGTGCACGGACAACGATTGAATGATGACACTTAATTTGTGGTAATAATATTGATATGAGCTTAATATTATCCAGTCTTTTCAACATCTTTACATACTGGTCCTTGCTGTAAAGTACTTGTCCCCATTAAAACAAGACCGCGTCCATTCGTGTTGTATGTGTGGTGTAATTGATGAAGATTGCAATTTTGCAATTTCATACTTATCAATTGAAGCTCATATTAATTAATTAAAAATTATTAAGTTGTAAATATAAAATATTTTTGTATAAGTGATCTAAAGTACTTTCTTTACTATTCTTTAAACTATTGGTAATTTCACTTTTCTAATAATAGAAAGAGGAGATAACGGAAATGATCTATATTATTAATTTTGTCTGAGATCATACGAAACGACATAATTAAAAGTCAATTTTCTATTTTACTTCAAGGACTGTAGAACATCGTTTACATAATAAAGTTTGAATATGACAAATTTGTTTGAAAATAGTCGGTTTACATGAAACTTCATCCTTTAAAAGCTGCTGATAAACTGCTGCGAAGACACGAGAAAAACGCTTTTTCACTCCAACAATAAATGTGGAGGGTAAACACATTTAAAGTCATGAATGAAAACATTTTGTGGATCAGATTAATTAGTGTAGATGCATATGCAATGAAATATTAAACTTACGTGTGCTACTTTCAGATAACTTATTTGGTAATGGAACACAATAGTAGTTCGGTCCCCGTGGCACACAGGCCTCATTGCGCTTACAAGCATTTCCTTTGCATTGACCAGCTAGTTGCTGAAAGTTGATCAACAAAACATTTACATGAACATGAATATTTCAATCATTCGTCCGAATTTTACATCATAAGTGTAGAAACTTTATCTCCCACCTGAGGTCAAGGTCTGCATAATCTGTGTATGCTATGGTCAAATAAGGAAGTGGATTAACCAGTTATTGGGAGGGGCAATTAAGATCAGATTATTGCATGAGCTTGGACATGCAGTCATTCAGCTAATTTCTCTCAAGAAGAAACATCGTTTATTTGAAGCTTAGAAAATATTTTGTAACTTTTTGCAAAAAGGAAGATTGCTGTGTATAGCTGAAGCTGAAATTGTGAGGTTTTAATTTTTTGCAAAAATGGGGTTTACTTATTGTATGCAGATTTGTGTGTGAGATTCAGAGAGCCGACTGCATTAAAGACTTTTTCAGAGCAGATTTCCAACTACTTGTGAAATTCTAAATATCTGAGGAAGGTCCATCTTTGTTGAAAGTACAGCTATAATTCAGGTAAAAGCGAACCTTAATCATTTTATTTTTAACTTCGATTTTTGCCTTTGAACCATGATTCGGCGTACATTAATTTTTGGTCACTCTTTTATTCATAGATTGGAATCATTTATGTTTGGAAAAAGCTATCAGGAATGGTTAAATTTGGGGTTTGATGGTACAGACATTCAAGTCGAGTATTTCGGTTTGGGTGGAAGTACGCTTCGTCCGGGTCCAAAATGCATTTAAAGGCAAGAGCTTATCAAAATTATTGATGATAAGAAACCTCATTATGTTTTTCTTCAAATCGGCGGCAATGATTTATCCGCTGAATCAAATGCCGATAGATTAGCGAGAGATATAATAGTTTTTGCCGATTACATAATTAAATGCTATCATGTTCGTCACGTGATTATAGGTCAGTTGCTCCCGAGATACTCCGGGGGATTGGAAGACAATTATAATAACAAGGTTATAGAGATAAACAAAGAGCTACGAAAAAATGTATATCAACGTTGCGATATAAGGCACTGGCAACACAGGGGGTTTTGGAAAAACACTCTAGCACTGTTATCAAATGACAAGGTGCATTTAAATGCTACAGGCATGGACAAATATGCAAAGAGTGTTCGTGCAGCTGTAGGTAGTCCAGCTCGAAGTTAAATATTTATTTTATCACTTTTATGTTGATATTGATGCAATTATCTACTATACAAAAAATTGATATGGAGGTTCTTGTCATGTGGTAACTTGACAAATATTATGGTTACATACTGAAAATATGGTACTCCATTACTACTTAATTCAATATATTTTTCCTCTGTCTTGCTTTGATTTATTATGGTTATGACACAAGAATGGTTGACATTACTAATGTCTTATATTATTACATGGTTCAGTTACATGATATGTTTTACATGTGGATTAACTATTTCAATCATTTTTCATGTACATACGTGTGTATTGACTTTGGTTCAAGCAGAAGAACATACTTAATGGTTTATATTATAAGAAACACCGACATAGCTAGATAATACTATTAATTATCTAATTACTACCACATTTTATATTAATTAGTATTGTAATTTTCATTGTTATTAATAAATGTTATATGAGTATTTTAAACCAAATCTTGAATTCTATCCTAATTCTATCCTAATTCTATCCTATTTTGGGAAAATTTCAGAAATTCAAATGTGACGTCACCTTTTTTTTTTTGCGTTAATCTCTTTGGCTAACTCGGCTGTGAATTTTTATGTGCTGGTTTATGTTGTTTTATTTATTCGTTTTTATTATCCAGAAAAGCGCTTCGGACGCATAAAATTATTAAACGTGTTGTTTTCAATTTTTTTAATTCTGTAGTTAGTCACTACTTCGATGTTATCATGTATATCTATTATATAGTCATTTGTATAAATTTACTGTTTGCAAAAGTATGAATTATTCTAAATACTATTTATTTTCTTATCCAAGACATATATCTTTAGCCGTATTTGGCACAACTTTTTGGAACTTTTGGTCCTCAATGCTCTTCAACTTTGTACTTGTTTTGGCTTTCCAACTTTTTTGATCTGAGCTTCACTGGTTAGTCTTGTGTGGACGAAACGCGCGTCTTAAATTTTAAACCTGGTACCGTTTGTTAGCTATTATTCGTATGTTTCTCTGTCCTATATGTTCTCCCATTTATTTCTATTGTAGTCCTGTCATGTAATGTTGTTATTTTAATGTTATATTTAACATTGCCATAAAAGCAGGAGGTTTGGCTAGCCACAAAACCAGGTTCAACCCACCATTTTTTTCTTAAAATGTCCTGTACCAAGTCAGGAAAATGGCCATTGTTATATTATAGTTCGTTTCTGTGTGTGTTACATTTTAATGTTGTGTTTCTGTTGTGTCGTAGTTCTCCTCTTATATTTAATGTGTTTCCCTCAGTTTTAGTTTGTAACCCGGATTTGTTTTTTTCTCAATCGATTTATGAATTTCGAACAGCGGTATACTACTGTTGCCTTTATTTATAAACCTATATGGTTGTGTCACAATAGGGTAAATTGTTTATAAATTTAATTTTACATGTTTTCTATACACATAATAGTTGTAATTCAGGAGTTACTATATCAGTATATATAATTTTTGTTTTTACATGTTTAATTCAATATTGGTTGAATCTATGTATTCATTTATACATGTATAGGCTTACAAATATGCCTAATAATTGGATCAACATTTTCCTCAATTGGTCATATTACAAATATGCCTAATATTTATTGGATCAATATTTTCATCAGTTGGTCATATTAAGAAAATATTGTACTAACAATTAGTTTAAACAATATTTATTCAGATAAATCAACATTAAACGATATTATTCAAATGAAATAATATTAAGGATTCAGAAACAAGCAATTTGCTTTTACAAATCTGTCTCCTTTTACAAAAATAATACACTTATTGGACAAAACATAAATATAAATACTGGCATGCTCCGTAATAAATATATGAATATGAAAAAGGTGAAAGAAGAAGAAGAAAGAAAAAGAAAAAAAAAAAATTTTAATGAGAAAAAAAATTTAAAAAATAAATCAATAAACATGAATTATTGTAATGTATACAGTGTGAAATGCTTGGGTTCCTATTGAATGATGAAGCATTAACATCAAGGGTTAAAACGTTTACTTTTAATAATATATTTCTGCACCAAACTAAATAAAAGACTATTTTGCTCATCTGAGAGTACCGTTGATCCAAAAAGCAAAGTTTTTGTGTTAACTTGGACAGGAAGAACTGAAATAGAATCTAATAGTTCATGTCTTAAATCAGTGTATATGGGACAAGATAACAGGAAGTGAGAATTTGTTTCTACATCACCACAACGACAATTTGGAGAGTCTACTAAATTACGAACGAATAGGTGAGAATTCAATGAATTTGAATCCATTCTTAAGCGAGCATGAAGAATTTGACCAAAACGATGTCCTATATAATAATACGCTGGGACCTTACTATTTTGGGTACTAATTTGTTTTTTGAATAATGATAGATATTCACAGTTTCTTATGTTTAAGTTAAGAGTGTTCCATAGTTTTGTTGTTGCTGGGATGAAATATTCAGAATATAAACGGTTCCGTGTGTTGACGTGTGCAATATTATTTCTTTGTCTTGTATTATGATAATGACTACTTCCTACTGTATCGGGCAATAAGTCTCTTAAATACTCTGGGGTTTTATTATTCAAAATTTTGTGATAATGAATTAGTCTATGATTGCGTTGTCTTTCAGATAATTTTTCCCATCGAGTTTCAACATATAAATTGTTTATACTGGTAAGTTTAGTATCCCCCGTGACGATACGCGCTGCGTCAAGTTGAATATTTTCAAGTTTAGCAATCAAATTCTGATTTTGAGAGTCCCAAACGACATCGGCATATTTAAGAATTGGGCGAACAAATGATATGTAAATTTTTTCAAGTGTAAACCTTTCAAGAACATTTTTCATTTTTCTCATTATATTTATTCTTTTGTAAGATTTAGAGACTATATATTCAATATGGTCGTTCCAGGATCCGTTGTTAGAAAAAAAGACACCTAGATGTTTGTGTTTACTTACTGTTTGTAGCTCTTGGGTATTCATATTTAATGGAGGATGAAAGGGTCTATTTATTTTTTTTGAAATTATCATACTTTCAGTTTTTTGGGCATTGAAATTCACAAGCCATTTTTTTGACCAATTATAAATCTTATCTAGATCGTTATTTAAAATTGTAGCTGTTTCTGTTGGATTGTCAACCATAATATACAACGAAGTGTCATCTGCGAACAGCTTAATTTGAGCTTGAATGTCTTCTATTATATCGTTTATAAATATCAAAAAAAAGGAGAGGGCCCAGAATGGACCCTTGTGGGACGCCTGCATTTACAGGTAACCATTCGGAACTTGAACCGTTAATAACCACCCGCTGGACTCTATTTGTAAGATAATTTTCAAACCACCTTAGTAAAGAACCCGATATGCCCGCTTGTTGAAGTTTAAATAGCAGTCCCTTATGCCAGACTCGTTCAAACGCTTTACTTATATCACAGAATACTACCCTTATTTCTTTACCGCTATCTAAAGCCTTCCCAAAATCATTTGAAATGTTAATTAATTGATTAACCGCTGAATCCCCCCGTGTAAAGCCTGACTGATTTTTCGTTAAAATATTATTACGCTTAAAGAGATTGTAAACATGTTTATATACACAACGTTTCATACACTTTGAAATTACACTCAACAAGGAAATAGGTCTATAGTTTTTAACGTCATTCGGTTTACTATTTTTATAAACTGGGGTAACATTTGCTCTTTTCCATTGATCTGGAAAAGTAGACGTACTTAACGATAAGTTAAATAGCTTACATAGTGGATACTTCAAAACAGAAGATGCTTCTTTTAACAATTTGGGACTTATGAGGTCTGGGCCAGAAGCTTTTGTGGGATTAACAATTTTCAATATATCTTCAACTTCAGTAACAGTAAGTTCTATATAACTAAT